GTAGATTTTATAATAATGTAGTAATTTTTTTAAGGAAAAAATTGTTAGATCAAAATTAAGGAGAGGTTGACACAATGTAATTTTCAAGTAAAAATCAAACTGTAAAACATAATAAATGTTTCAGTATGTTTTAACATTTGCTTTAACCTTACTTAGTTTAAAGTTTACGTACGTTAGATATTCGTTCACGTATTCTTATAGTGCTGCGACTCTTTCTTGCCAATACCTCGGTTGCAATGGCTGCCAAGGGTTTCGTGTCAAATACGCTCCAAGGGACACTACTATTAAGTTTGGCAATATTATATAGAAGATTTAAAATTAATTTTTATCACATTATAAAAATTAACTTTCAAAAGCAATTCTTTATTGAAACAATATAAATAAATAAGCTATATAAATAAGAAATTACTATTTTTACAGTTTTGTAAATCAAACAGCTAGAAGAAGACTTTAAACTTTTTAGAAGTTTTTAACTGTTTTTATCATTAAACTGCGAAAGCTTTGACTTTTTTTCATCAAACTTCTGTGAATAAAACACTTCTTAGTGGGATTAGGCTTGGATCTTAGTTTTTTTTAATCTTGTCAAAATAGTTTTATATTTGTGGTCTTCATTGAAACAATTTAATTGTAGAATTAGTCAAGTTTCTTGTTCCTACACTGTAAAGCTTCTCAATAAAACATCCCAATTGGCAGGTTTGTTGCATTTATGCGTTTATTAAGACTTGCAATACCTGCTGTTATCTTTAAAAAAAATGCTAAGCATTGTTTTAAAGCAAAAAATTTTTTAGTTCAAGTTTGATCTTTTTTTTCCCCCATTTATTTCTCCTAACGTATCCGTAACACTTTGTTGATATCTTCCCCCCCCCCCCTCCATTTTATATACATATAAACATATATTATATATAAATATATATATATATATATATATATATATATATATTATATATATATATATATATATATATATAATATATATATATATATATATATATATAAATATATATTTAATATATAAAAAAATGGATATTTTTAAATATAAAAATATCTATATTTCTCTGAGCTTCTTTGAGTTAATTAATGAGTACTTTTCAGTTTGTTTAATATTTTTTTTAACCACAGTTCTGTGTAAAATTGTATACATTATCATCGCTACGATGTTCGGTAAAGAGGATACCATTTTTAAAATCTATTCTTCCGATATGTAATATATGCAAAATATAATAAATATAATATGCAATACCTAGTAATATATTATATATGCCAAAATTTTATTTTATATATACAATTTTTTACCTATTAATAAATGTTAGCGTAGCCAAGTGAAGGCTAGTAAATCGAGGGTTCATGTTTGCCTCTCGCTAATAAAATTACTAAATTTTCTTCTAGTTAGTGCATAAAGAATGTTTTTTGTTGGTGTATACTTTTGTGCACTAACTAAATAAAGTTCTACACTTGGACCATATAAAGCCAAAGCGCAGAAACTGTACTGCACATAGATTGCACACAGCCATAACAGTCCGGTAACAGGCTGAAAGTACTCCGTTTAACGGAGTTGTACACATAGACTAAGTAAAGCTTAGGCGTTGTTGATTTTACAATCAACATGTAAATACATCAACTAAAGGTTTTGGTTTGGTCAGATTTTAATCAAAAAAAATTAAAAAAAAATGTTGCGTCACAAAATTGAGACCCTCCCCTTCCCAATAATTCGTCACAAAATCTCCTACTCCCCCTTTTTCCCTAAAGTGTGACGTATTTTAAGAACGACCCCTAAAATAAAGTCAACTAATATTTTAGATATGTTTTTATTAGCTTTGTTGCATAAATATAATGTATAATTTACAATATATATATATATATATATATATATATATATATATATATATATATATATATATATATATATATATATATATATATATATATATATATATATATATATATATATATATATATATATATATATATATATATATATATATAATATATATATATATATATATATATATATATATATATATATATTTATATATATATATATATATATATATATAATATATATATATATATATATATATATATATATATATATATATATATATATATATATATATATATATATATATATATATATATATATATATATATATATATATGTATATGTATATATATATATATATATATATATATATATATATATATATATATATATATATATATATATATATATATATATATATATATATATATATATATATATATATATATATATATATATATATACTAGATATAACTAGATATATAAAAACATCAAAAAATTTTAATACGCATTAGTAAGAAATTTTTTATCATAAAACAGAAATTTAATCTGTTGATAAAAATTTTTTTGTAACAGAATAATAAATTAAACTTTTTATCGTTTTTAATTTTTTTAGATGTATTCTCTAGAGTAATAATAGTTTACGATTTACGAAGTAAAAGTATCATGTTTACAAAGATTTGTTTTTGACTATTTTATAGTTTATAGATTTATATTTTAAAAATTTATAAAATTGTTATGGTATTTTTACATCAAACTTTGTTTTAGACAATTTTAAAAATATAAAGATACAGTTCTTTTATTATTAAAAAAAGATACAGTTCTTTTATTTTTTAAAAACTTTCGTTAAAATAAAGCGTTGCATTTTAAAAACTTCAATTGTTAATTAGATAAATATTATTACCGTATATATTGAGATAATAAAATCATCATTCATAATAGTAATGATACGTTCAATATTAGGTGTTCAACGCGACAAATTACTTCACGAAATTCATCGTTATTTTTCACAAGACACAAAAAAGTTAGCTTTAGTACTATATGGAATGTCAGGTGTTGGGAAGACAAAAATTGCCGAAAAATACAGTGAAATATATTCTGACTTCTATAAAAACATTGTCTGGATAGACGCAAGATTTGGAATGTTACAAACTTCTATAAGAAATCGTTGTCAAATATTAGGATTGGATACTCATGATTCAAAAAATGATCTTAATATAGAAGTAATTGTTGAAAAAATTCACAACTATTACATGAATGGAAAAACGTTGTATATTTTTGACAATGTCGACGATGAAAGTGTTAAAGGTTTGAAAATGTACATTTCAAGGAAAGCGAACTCATTTACTTTAATTACCTCGCAATGGAGAACGTGGTCAAACAATGTTAATAAAATGTTTGTTGATGTTTTTTCTTCTGAAGATGCATTCGCTTATGTGAAAAATAATGTCAAAGAATACACCGATGAAAACATAAAAAACTTAACTAAAGAACTTGGTTATCATCCGTTTGCTATAACGCAGGCAATAAAATATATAAATATACATAACATTTCGATAGAAAAATATATAGATCGATATAGACAGAAACCCTTAGAAATATTAGACACTGATAACTTTCCTTCTGAAGATGAATCAAAGTCTGCAATAAAAGCAATCAATTTAGTTTTGTTCAAATTGAAAAAAACTAAACCTATTCCATTAGATTTACTTAACTGTTTATCTCATTGCGATGGTCAAAATATAAGTAAAGAATTTATAATCCAAATCTTAAACCAAATGAAAATAATAGGAGAACATTTAATAGATGAAATCGTTGGATTACTAATGAGTTATTCGTTATTAAATTGTTTTGATGATAACAAATATTCAATGCACGAACTGACACAGATGACGTGTAGATATTTTCAAAGTAAAAATTCAAGTACAAATACGTATCTTGATCTAATCGAAGATTATTTCAAATTTGAGTTAAATCAGGTTAATGATCACGTGGAATTCGGTAATCATTTCGTTTTTCATTTTCTCTATATATGTCGTATTAACGGAAAAAGAATGTCAAAAACCTTCCACCATATGTCAATTTCTATTCGCCAGTTATTAGTATGTAAAGGTTTATTTGATGAAACAATCGAAATATTACAAGCTATTCAAAGTTTTAATGCAGAAACTTATGGTGAACATAATGAACTCACGCTTAATACAAAACATAATATCGCAAACTGTTTGAAAGATATGGGAAAATATAACGAAGCTTTAGAAATTTATTATTCTGTTGAAAAAATACGAACTGAAATTTTAGGTATCAACCATCCAGATACAATAATAACAAAATATAATATCGCAAACTGTTTGTACGTTATGGGAAAATATAACGAAGCTTTAGAAATTTATTATTCTGTTGAAAAAATACGAACTGAAATTTTAGGTATCAACCATCCAGATACAATAATAACAAAATATAATATCGCAAACTGTTTGTACGTTATGGGAAAATATAACGAAGCTTTAGAAATTTATTATTCTGTTGAGAAAATACAAACTGAAATTTTAGGTATCAACCATCCAGATACAATAAGAACAAAACATAATATCGCAAACTGTTTGTACGTTATGGGAAAATATAACGAAGCTTTAGAAATTTATTATTCTGTTGAGAAAATACGAACTGAAATTTTAGGTATCAACCATCCAGATACAATAGGAACAAAACATAATATCGCAAGCTGTTTGGACGATATGGGAAAATATAACGAAGCTTTAGAAATTTTATATTCTGTTGAGAAAATACAAACTGAAATTTTAGGTATCAACCATCCAGATACAATAAGAACAAAACATAATATCGCAAGCTGTTTGGACGATATGGGAAAATATAACGAAGCTTTAGAAATTTTATATTCTGTTGAGAAAATACAAACTGAAATTTTAGGTATCAACCATCCAGATACAATAAGAACAAAACATAATATCGCAATCTGTTTGGACAATATGGGAAAATATAACGAAGCTTTAGAAATTTATTATTCTGTTGAGAAAATACAAACTGAAATTTTAGGTATCAACCATCCAGATACAATAAGAACAAAACATAATATCGCAATCTGTTTGGACAATATGGGAAAATATAACGAAGCTTTAGAAATTTATTATTCTGTTGAGAAAATACAAACTGAAATTTTAGGTATCAACCATCCAGATACAATAAGAACAAAACATAATATCGCAATCTGTTTGGACAATATGGGAAAATATAACGAAGCTTTAGAAATTTATTATTCTGTTGAGAAAATACAAACTGAAATTTTAGGTATCAACCATCCAGATACAATAAGAACAAAACATAGTATCGCAATCTGTTTGAAAAAAATGGGAAAATATAACGAAGCTTTAGAAATTTATTATTCTGTTGAGAAAATACAAACTGAAATTTTAGGTATCAACCATCCAGATACAATAAGAACAAAACATAATATCGCAAACTGTTTGGACGATATGGGAAAATATAACGAAGCTTTAGAAATTTATTATTCTGTTGAGAAAATACAAACTGAAATTTTAGGTATCAACCATCCAGATACAATAGCAACAAAACATAGTATCGCAATCTGTTTGAAAAAAATGGGAAAATATAACGAAGCTTTAGAAATTTATTATTCTGTTGAGAAAAAACGAACTGAAATTTTAGGTATCAACCATCCAGATACAATAGCAACAAAACATAGTATCGCAATCTGTTTGAAAAAAATGGGAAAATATAACGAAGCTTTAGAAATTTATTATTCTGTTGAGAAAATACAAACTGAAATTTTAGGTATCAACCATCCAGATACAATAAGAACAAAACATAATATCGCAATCTGTTTGGACGATATCGGAAAATATAACGAAGCTTTAGAAATTTATTATTCTGTTGAGAAAATACAAACTGAAATTTTAGGTATCAACCATCCAGATACAATAAGAACAAAACATAATATCGCAAACTGTTTGTACGTTATGGGAAAATATAACGAAGCTTTAGAAATTTATTATTCTGTTGAGAAAATACAAACTGAAATTTTAGGTATCAACCATCCAGATACATTAAGAACAAAACATAATATCGCATACTGTTTAATAAAGCGGAAAATATAGTGTTGAAAATTGAAAATTAGTTAAATATTATTTTACATATATATGTATAAGTTTTATTATTTTGTTGATAAAGTAAAAGTAAGATATTCCTTTAATAGTGAGAAAGCGCCGCAAAGTATTTTTTTAATTGAATTGTATTTTTTTTTAAGTTTATATAAGCATTTCAGTTGATTATTTTTAAAAAAATAGAGAAATTTTGTAATCTTATTAAAAATAAAGATATATTTTTGTTATTAATTGTAATTATTATTTGTATGTATTATAAATAAAGGGTTTAAGTTATTTTAGGAGTGTTTTGAGGTTAGATTTGGATTTATGATTTAAAATTAATTAATTAAAAGCAGTTTAAGTTTTTCTTAAGCTAACATTTTGTATATATATATATATATACAATATATATATATATATATATATATATATATATATATATATATATATATATATATATATATATATATATATATATGTATATATATATATATATATATATATATATATATATATATATATATATATATATATATATATATATATGTATATATATGCATAATATAGTGTTTAAAGTTTAACTTATACTTGAACCAATAAAAATGGTTCCCTGAGGAATTAAAAACATGAGAAATGATATAATAAGTAAAACGATATAAGAATCACTATAGAGATGATAGTTTTAATGTTTTATTCTTATTAATTTGAATCGGAAAAATCATTAACATTAGTTATTGATTCTAATCGAAATTAAGGGAATTTTATCTAATTTAACGCTGTTTTCGTCACAAAATAATGTTAATTTACTAAAATTAATAGCGTATATGGGGGTGGGGGGTTGCAGTAGCTCAATTATTATTATTTTTTTTTTTAATTTTTGCCAAGCAACCATTTACAATTAAAGATAATTTCCGTAAAATATTTAGAAATATTAAATACAAGTACATTTCATTATTTATAATAGTTACAAGACCGGAGAACCTGAAGAAGATAAAGTCTTTTCATTAGTAACCTTTGATAATAAAAATTGGAAATAATCGTGTATTGTTAGAAAAAGTCATGTAAAGAATCGTGATTGGCAATAAGTTCAATTATGTTCTTTTTAAATTTTTGAGAGGTATTGGCTTCTTTAAGTTTACCACTCAGACTGGTAAAATGGTTCCATAGCATTGGGCCACGATAGGAAATGGCAAAGCTCGTAAGTTTTGATGAACGGAAAGGTTTTTTAAATCTTCCGGTAGATCGCGTGTTGTATTGGTTTAATGTTTTATGGAAAATATTTTCAAAAAACCTTTGGCGTTTTTTTTGACTGATGTTGAAACATAAATTGTGTAGTTTTGAAAATATTTAACTATTATAAAATTATTTGAAAATATTTAACTATTATAAAAGTATGGAGACTAATTTAAAAACAAAATTTCATAAATTGTTGGGTTGGTAGGTTAAAAACGCAGGTACTTTGAGCGAGGTAGAGGGTACTCAAAAAAGCGTATGACAATAAGCAGGGGGAAGAGGGGGGGGGGGAAGTCAAAAAAAAAGTGTACGTACTTTTTCGACGACCCCTTATGCAATAGAGCCTACTGCTTAGTTGACACAGTAAAGAAGGAAAAAAAATTGTTGAATTAGTATTAAAAAATGCACAGTTTATGTACAGCAATCAGCAGCACATTGATCAATTAATTTTAAAGAACGGTAAGCACATGGCGCATAAATTTATTTTTAATATTTAAGCATTTAGGCCATTTTAGATGCTGGAAGTATTATTGGCATCGTCATATGATAGTCCTCAGCAATCTGCTAAACTTTAATTGTACTTATATAAAAACTTAAATAATACATCTAACATTTTATTAGCAAGATCGTCGAAAAGAAAAAGTAAAAAACGTTTGACTGCTTTTCTGTTATCGATATCAACATATCGAATTATCAATGACAATTGGTCAGTTGGAGAAATATATCGAATCAAGAAATATAGATATTTTTTTCGCCTTCTACAATAAATACGATTTGCGTATATACACAACAAAATAAGTAATAGCTGGAGCAAGAAGAAGACATAATTCTGTCTTATTACCGAGCCCCATTTTTATAAAATTGTGATATATAAACATTATATTATAACTTTGTTATTGTGGATTGTGACGACAACATTCTTTTTTTTTTTTTTAGATTCTTTTTTTAATTGATCATGAGTGGTTTTATTTTGTAATATCTGAAAATAAATTCCATAAATACGGCCCACGATACTTAAGTTTTTGACTATATCTTGGACATCAAAGATGTTTACTGAGAATCTTGTACTATATTTGTGGCAGATTTCACTAAAATAGAATTCAAATTTTTTTGTCGACATTTCTAGCTTAGTTCTATACATAAAAACTGAAATTTCATATAAATTTATTTTATAAATATTTAAAGCTCCAAGTAAACACAATAAAGGCTCACAGGGTTCTGCTCTATTTGCTCCAAATATAATTCGACTTGCATGATTTTGTTTACTATTTTTGTTTACTGCTTTTTTAATTTTGTATGATTGGTATTGCCCAGGCGATGTTACAGTATGTATATAATGTATACATTCTCTTCTTTCCATTCCAGTCAAACAGGTTGGCCCATTGTTAGACATTCAAATCACTCCGGCTTCTGTTGCTAAAGTCATATCTCAATTAAACTCGTCTACAGCTTGTGGTCCAGACAACATTCCTGTCACAGTCTTGCATAACTGTTCTCCAGACCTTTCTTCAATTCTCTCTAAACTATTTAACAAGTGTTTGACTGAGTCTTGTTTTCCTGCTTGTTGGAAAATGGCATCTGTGGTTCCAATATTTAAAAACTCTGGAGAGAATTCTAACACTTCCAATTATCGTCCGATCAGTCTTCTTTCTGTTATTAGCAAGGTCTTTGAGTCTTTGATCAACAAATTCCTCACATCTCATCTTGAGTCAAATAAACTGCTGTCAGACAATCAATACGGTTTTTGATCCTCTCGCTCTACGGCCGACTTGCTAACTGCTGTAACTGAAAGATTTTATCGTGCATTAGATGGAGGCGGTTAGGCTAGGGCTATTGCTCTCGACATATCTAAAGCTTTCGACAAAGTTTGGCATGCTGGTCTTCTTCATAAGCTTGCTTCATATGGTGTTTCTAGGAAAGTTTTTAAGGTTATCAAATCATTTCTTTTTAACCGGTTTATTAAAGTCATCTTTGAAGGCCAACACTCTTCTTTATTTCCAGTAACTTCTGGGGTTCCCCAAGGTTCCATCCTGGGCCCTGCTTTGTTTCTTATCTACATAAACGATCTTCCTGACAACCTTTCATCTAAAGTAGCTCTTTTTGCTGATGACTCAACTTTATACTCCTGTCTTGGCAAAAAGTCTTCTCTTTTCGATCGTTTAGAACAAGCAACTGATCTTGAATCTGATCTCACTTCAGTAATAGATTGGGGTTCACAGTGGCTTGTGAATTTCAACTCTAACAAAACCCAATTGCTTTCTGCAAACAACTACCGTAATATGGTCAACATTCCTATATTAATGAATGGCAATCCTCTTACTGAGTCCTTATGGCAATCCTCTTACTGAGTCCTCCTCTTTACGTCTTCTTGGATTATCGCTTACTACTGACCTTTCATGAAAACCATATAAATTAGCTTCTGCTAAGGTTGCTTCTCTTTATCGTGCTCGCCATTTCCTTACTTCTGATTCCATTCTCTATCTCTACAAATCTCTTATTCGTCCCTGTATGGAATACTGTTGTCATATTTGGGCTGCTTCTTCTAACGAATCACTTTCTCTTCTTGACAAGGTCCTAAAACGCATTGTAGTATTGTTTGACCTGGACTATCTGCTGAGCTTGAACCTCTTTCCCATCGTCGTAAAGTTGCATCTCTTTCTCTTTTCTACAAATTTCTATCATGGTCACTGCTCAAAGGAGTTATCATCTCTTGTTCCATCAACTAAAATTCATTCTCGTTTTACTCGTCATTCAGCTAAGTCTCATTCGTTTACTGTATCTGTCCCTCCATGTTCTAAAAACTTTTATTCATCTAGTTTTTTTCCCCTCACTTCAATCTTTTGCAACTCTCTCCCATCTTCATGTTTTCCTGACTCATACAACCTTCAACTTTTCAAGTCTTCTGTCAACCGTTTCCTTGCTCTATAACTCTGTTCTTTTTTTTTCCTAGTAACTCCTAACTTAATAGTGGTTGCTTGCAGCCTTGTTGGGAGTGAATGCAAATAAAAAAAAAATGTTAGGTAACTTTGGATAAAAGCTAAGTATAAACTTTTTAGTAATTTTTAGAAATGGTTTAGCTCTATAAATCATTCCTAAATTTCTAGAAATATTTTTTTCAAGGTTGTTTATATGAAAATTCCATCTTAAATTTTTTTACCAATTCTACGCCTAAAAAAGTTTACCGATGATTCTCTTGTATTTATAGCTTTATTTATAATAAGGTTTGGCAACTTGAATGGAACATTATCAGTTTTATTCAACTTTTGGAACAAATAAAAACAGATAACAGATAAAAAAATTTTATCTTTTTAAAAAAAATTGAATTATTATATATACTTTTTTTTATTAGAATAATAACATATCATTATTTATTTTGTTTCCCGATTATGTTGATAAAGTCATCGCATATTAAGGACCGGCGAATATTCGTTAAAATTTGAATATCGGTGTTTACTGAAAGGCGAAGTTGACTTCGGCTTCGACTTCGGTGCCAAAGTTGAAATTGAAATTCGGCTTTCAGTTAAATTCGTTAACAATTTCAAAATTTCATTTAACTTTCAGACAAATTCAAAAACTATTAACTTTTTTTCAGTTTATAAAAGAAGAAGAGATATAAAATAGAATACATGTTTTATGTACATCAACATGTTTCTGAGTGCAGCAGAAACAGGTTGATCTACAAGTCTTGTTTGATAAGGTTCAAAAGTTGTCAAGATTCAAAAGTTCAAGGTTGAAAAGTGTTTTGGCGTTAAAGAGTTAATAGAGGGTTGTAACCAATATAAGAAGTAGTTTCTTGACTAAAGTGGCCCATTCGCCCTTACGAACATGAATTCAGGAAAAAAAAGAAAAAAAAGAAAAAACATGTTAGTAATAAATTTTAGTCAATACTCATTCCTTATTAATTCTTATTTATCACTTTCAAAAAGTTCTAAAGGTAAAAAACAGCTGCATATTTAACCTAATATTCTTAACGATCTTCTTCCTTTATATAACTTAAATTAAAAATTTTTAAATTAATATTGTTACTGTTTTTTTGTTCATGTTCGTTCAAAAACATTAAGGTTGTAAAGATTCCAATTATTAATTATCTAAAATATATTAATTTTTGTTTATAGCAAGCGCGGTACAGTAATTAGACCGCTTGCTTTAGAAGTAAGAAACCTAGGATTCGAAGCAAGTTTTAAGCATATTTCGCACTATTGGTAAGGAAGAAGGTTTTAACTTTCTAGTTAAAAATTTTTCTGATGTACTCCGTGATAAAAGCGTTAGGTCTTCGTAAAATATCTAAATCAAAAAAAAAAAAAAAAAGTTTTTTATTAAATTTATGAAAGTTCTTAAAACAATTCTCTTTCAATTAAATTCGGCTTTCAGTTGATTTGGTTTAGAGGTTCAAATTTGTCTTTCAGTTAAATTCGGACTATATATACGGCCTAAATTTTTCTTTCACTTAAATTCGGTGCATGGATATGATCTAGATTCGTCTTTCATTTAAATTCGAGTCTTAAAAAGACGACTACGGCGGTGTCGCAATAAATGAGGACTTAGGAAATTATGATTTCGAAAGTCTTAATTTCCTTGTAAATTAGAACCTTTCAAGTTTAGATTTACATAGAAATTAGGAGTGGAACGGTAAATTAAGACTCCAACAATCTCTTGAAATTGAAAGATCATTTCGATACTGGAATAACATCGCACAACGCCTAGAAAATTAAGTTGAAAATGCACAGAAAACTGGTTCTAATTATAACTATGACTCAGTAAAAAAGACAACTACTTCCAGAATTTCTAAGAGATCTTAAGAGATGGATCAAAGCTTTCCAAATAGACAATATACCATATAAACATTACACTGTACCCGAGAGAAAAAAAACCCGCTAATCCTGTTAAGTTCCTAATAAGTTTCCTACTAAAACTTTGTAAGTTCCCGCCGAGTACTTACTAGGAACTTAGTAGGATTAGCAGGTTTTAGTAGGAAACTTAGTAGGATTAGCAAGTTTTAGTAGGAAACTTAGTAGGATTAGCAAGTTTTTAGAAGGAAACTTAGTAGTATTACTAGGGTTTTTACTCGGAACTTAGTAGGTACTTAACAGGGTTAGTAGGTTTTTTTTTCTCGGTTAAGTATTACTTTCTAGTTTTAGTTAATAGTTTTTTTAGTTAAATTCATACGTTTATTAGGGTTTTATTTAATTATTTGAGTTTTAAAGATTTCATAGATATATTAGTAGGCTTATTTTTCAAGAAATATACGAGTTTAAGTAAAAATAATAATTTTTACTTAAACACAGTATCTTCTTGAAAATATAATCCTTATAATATAACTTAACTAGTCGCTAAGCAATAAGGACGCCTATTTATAAAACAATAATAAAAATAACAAATAATTAAGTGTTAGATTGTTTAAATAGAACATTTTAAAAAATACAATAAACAGCGATGGTCAGTTTTTTTGGTAATTTTCGCGGGGTCAGTGGAATAATTGCACCCATAAGATTTTTCTTAATCTTTTACGACCATAACTGTAGCTATAACGTAATTTATAAAAATATTAATGTAATTCAACAACATAATAACATATATTTTATAACAAAAAAGCATATTTAACTTACCATAAATTTAGAACGATGAAAAAACTTTCATTATCATTGTTTCAAAGCTATTATAATCTAAAACTTCAAAATGTATGAAAATATGAAACTAAGTTAAATTAAAAAAATTTAAATAAGCCTCGTGTGTGTATATACACATATATACATATATATATATACATATATATATATATATATATATATATATATATATATATATATATATATATATATATATATACACATGTATATACACATATATATACACATATATATACACATATTATTTTTATATACATATAAAAAAAGGAAAATTTACAGTTGACGAAAAACAATTAATAATTGTATCTAAAATAATAATTAATTTAATAGATATTAATCGTATCTACCTGTTAAGAAATCTGATTTAGATCATTGTAAACAACAAACTCCTGTCGCCATTATGAATTAAGTTTGATGTTTCATTAATTTATTGATTGCAAACAGAATCCTAAATAACAACTTCTAATAAAAAGAATATTGTAAAGTAAATATATAATAATACAAAAAAACATAATAGAATTTCAAACTTTAAAAAAGAGAAATAAAACCTAATCATGTTCATAATTATTTTGAATAACAACACTATAATAAAATTTCTTTGTTTTTTTTACAAGAGCGTAGTGAGTAAATTTGCTTGAATCAAAAACAGCTAATTCACACTTTTTCAACAATAAATAAGGAGATATTTTTGACAAAACATGCTTGATTTTGATAGGAATATTAAAAGAATCCATATGACAATGAAACTTACATTTTTATACAATCGACATATACACAAGATTTGTCTTTGGTTATGTGCAATAAACAAAACTTTCACAATCACATTAAATTCTATTAAATATGCATAATATGAAACTGATTTTAATTTTTTACCATAATGATAAGCATTAAAAGTTCTATCAGCAACTCTAAAACGGTTATAAAACTGATAAAGATTTAGGTCAACATTTAAATCATTCAAATCCATATTCCGTAACTTATCTGATATATTTTGTGCTGCACCTAACACAAAAGGATCCAAAGAAAAACTATTTAAGTGGTCTTCCGTCTGAAATCTAATAAATTTTTCAGCCATTTGCCTTCCATGGCCTTTAGTTCCTGTAACAAACCTCTTTAGTTGGCGATTTACATTTTCAAACACCATAGCAGACGTTGCTGTAAGAGGTCCAAAATTTTTTATCTGGTCAGAGAGATGCGCTAATGCATCAAAAGTGAATGTGCGAATACCTTCACCGAAATAGGAGCATAATGCCTTTTGAAATAAATAAACTAGTTGCTGACAAGCATCAATATCATTTGATGAAACAATTTCATTGGATAATGTATAAATAGATGTTGAAAGCATTAAATAAAGAGAACAAATTTCAGCATTACCAAGTTTGTAAAACACAAATGGCCCATAATACAATAGAAAATACTTGTGCTCTTGAGCTTTCCACTTAACAAGTTCATTATTCAAATTTTTTGGCTTCCGTCGAAATAAATGTGGCAATTTTATGGAGTCTATTAGACTAAAAAGATCTAAAAGACTTTGATGAACATCTTTTTATATAAGAAAAAATCTTCTTAAATTTTTCTTAGTTTTTATTTTTTTATTTTGTCTATTTCAAAATTATCATTTTTTTATTTATCAAAATAATAAATATTTGTCAGGTGGACAAAAAAATTACTTTTGCTACTTGTTACAAAGATTTAGGTCAGCAGTTGCATGCCGGCGTGAAGCAAAAATAGGTTGGCTTTTGCGTTGACATTACCAACCTGAATTTTGCAGGATGTACATATATATATATATATATATATATATATATATATATATATATATATATATATATATATATATATATATATATATATATATATATATATATATATATATATATTATGTGTGTATATAAATATATATATATATATATATATATATATATATATATATATACATATATACATATATATATATATATATATATATATATATATATATATATATATATATATATATATATATATATATATATATTTATATATATATATATATATATATATATATATATATATATATATATATATATATATATATATATATATATATATATATATATATATATATATATATATATATATATTTACATACACACACACACTCAAAAAATTTCAAGTTCTTCATTTAAATTCAACATGATTAATGAATAATTATGCATAATCACATTATATATAAAAAAACAGAAAATAGTTACCTGAAGCTAATTGATTGTAAATGGTTTGAGATGGAACTAAACATATTGTGTGTGTGTTTATATATATATATATATATATATATATATATATATATATATATATATATATATATATATATATATATATATATATATATATATATATATTAATAAAAACTTGAGTAACTAGCATTATATAACTATATACAGTAGTAATTAATCAAAATATCATAAAATTAAATTATGGAAATTTTAAATTAATTTATATAATGGCATTTATAACAAAAATCTTTATGTTAAGCAAATAAAAATTATAATACAAAATATAACAATATTCAATAATTTTATAGTTTGTTTAACATGTTAAAAAGAAATGTTAAATCTTGTTAACAAGAGATAACAATAAAAATATATTTACCAGTAAAAAATGTTTATAAATATTTTATGAGAGAGTGATTTTCAAAATTGATCAATTTTTAATGTCAAATGGTTTACTCCCTTTTGTCTGACTAAAACTTTTAGTCAAGCTTGAAGTGAGTGGTTTTTTGACATAAAAATTTGACTTTTTAAATAAAATTACAAATGAAATTTTAAGAAAATTAAAAATAAAAGTCTTTCTTTTTATTTAAAAAAAGTGACAAATCTTTATTAATAAAGATATCACTTACTCTTTTTAGTAAAAAGAAATAGTAAAAAGAATTAGTGACAAAATAATTGTTTATGATTTATGATTTTGTTTATTAAACAATACAAAATCATAAACAATTAAAATAAAAACATCCGAAATAAAAATAAAATATAATTTAAAAAACACATCACCATACATATCACTATGAATCAGAAAATGCTCGAATTGATACAACAGAAAATGCTCGAATTTATATAGAGTTAAAATTAACATTTAAAACCATATTATAACACATTAACAAATATTCATCAAATAAACTGCAAACCACGCAATCATCACCAGATGTTCTTGAGCTTTTTCCTTATAGAATTACAAATATTAAACAGCTTTTTTAGATTCAATAGTAAATCTATTGAATCTAAAAAAGCTGTTTTATGGCTGACTTGTCTTCGGTGTGAATAAATAAAAGATGGCGTATAACAAAGACGATTTTTTATACTTGTTTTATTTTTGAAAAATTACTAGGAACTTACTAAGTAATTCGTTTAATCCTGATAAGTACTTAGTAGGATTAGCAGGAAATTCATAAACGTCATTTCACTAATGGGAAACTTAATAGGTTTAGCCGTATTAAGCGAAAACTTACCAGGATTAGCAGGAACTTAACAGGATTAGCAGGAACTTAACAGTATTAGCAGGAAGTTAAACATATTCCTAGTAGTATTAGCGGGTTTTTTTTTCTCGGGATTTTTTAGCAAAAATATTCACCTGAAATTATTGTTCGAGCTTTGGAGCATTTTGCACGGTCACATTTATATGATCAATTAAGAAATGATTTTCATCTTTCTGACACTTCCCAGACAGCAAGGGAATAATGGTTCCGTACTGGTCCAGTATAGGCTGCCGGGCTGGACCGGCTTCGGCTGTCGACGCACAGTGAGTCAAAATCCATAAAAAACGGCAAAAAAAACCCATAAAAAACTTTTGCTAGAAAATAAATAATTAGTTTATAATGTCACTAAATACCACTAAAAGACAATAAATTTTTTTTTTTTGAATAATTTTTAAGATTTCACCAATTTATACGTCTTTTTCCGAGACTTATTTTATTTTATTTATCGGAAAACTCGTTCAAAAAAGTCTCGCTTTAGTGTCACTCTTTTAAGATTGATATAGGTAAAAACAGTTCAAAATTTAATTTAAAGTCATATGTTTAAGATGTTTGGTAACTACTAATAACATTTTTAACAATAAATTTTAATTTTAGATTTTCATTACTGAGATCTCAATAATATGTCATAAATTGATTTTTTTAAATTAGTTTAATTATGAGTTTAGTTCAAAAACTAAAAGATTCCACTAGATTCCATGGTAGTTTTAATATTTTCCTGTTAATAGATATATATGATAGCAGAAAAAATAAAAATTATTTGCCCCAACTTGCCCCAAATAAAATAAGACCTTTTAAATACTTCGTTTTTTTTTTGTATTTTTTTTTTTCCGTTTTTAATTATAACTTGCGCATAAAGTAGCGAACAATAGTTCATTGTTTACATTCATCAAATAATACATTTAGTTCCTATTACTAAAAAAACTCATGCTCAAGCAGATGGTGCTAATTATTAAACCTCAAAACCAAAATATGCAATATTTGATGTTATAGTGCATATTTTAAAATTCAAACTTGCGTGTAAAATAACTAACAATACTTCATTGCTTACATTAAACATGAAAAGAATACATTTAGTCCCTATAATTCAAGAGTTAGGAATTAATCATGATAATTTACTCGAAGCTCTTATACGTGAGTTTTGTAGACTGGAGGGTTTGTACTATGAAGGTATTGACAAACTTAAAATGTTAAATCTAAAGAAAACTCTAATTATGTTTAAATGTAAATTCCGATCAAAATTGCAGAAATATTCAAAAACCTTCTCTAAATTTTTGGAACATGAGCAAACTTAGTTGAGCAAAGATGTAACTGACAAAAAAAACTTTGCAGCAGTTCCAGGCAGAAAGAGCAAGAACTGGGAAGATTTACCCAGCAAATATCAAGCAGGCGGACCGACAATGGACCGTTGTCAGCCCTTATGCCGTGCCGACGTCGACCGCCCGCTGCGTTGCCGCGTTGGCTTGCACATCGTATTTACATCGGTCCGTTAGCGGTAAACTGAAGGCGGTTCGACAGCGGACCGATGAAGGCAAATCGACAACGTTTGAGCAACGGTCCGTCAGCGGCTAACCGATGATAAAGCCACAGCGGAATAGCATAGGATCTATACAAAGTTTTGACTAAGATTTGAATGCATTGATATACATATAATTATTTTTGTTTTTTTTTTGGAATAAAACGCACTTATCGTTAGCAAAAATCTTTATGTCTTTCAGCTCAAAGTTTTACTCATGAAAAAAAGCAAATCCTGCGAATGCCTGGGAGAAACATCAAATACCTTTTGACTTTGTGCATAGGTATATAGACAAAATACGAATTTATTATACTAAAATCCTCCTACCACCGAAAAACACTACCCCAACTGTAAATCATTAGGTCATATGTGGCAAGGCTTAAGCTCGGTGAACAAAAAGACTAATCAGAAGTTATAATGAAAATCATTTTAAAATTGCAATTTACAATTACAACATGAATATAAAAGTAACAATAATTTTTTTTTAAACTAAAACAAATTATAAATTATATTTGCATCTATAGATTATTAGCGAACGTTTAAAATATAAAATAGTTAATTTTCAACATATCTATAAGTTCAGTTTATTCTCATTTCAATCAAAAACTAAATATATTCAGGAAACCATGTGTTGAAAATTGATTTACGTTGCAGTCTGCAGACTTCTAACTTTCACCTAAAAGCAGGCAATGATATATAATGAAAATATTGAAACAGTCAAGTTCAAAGCTATTACAACAAAGATAATAAACTAACCTTCTCAGCCCTTAAAAACGTGTTCGTTTAATAGTCTGATCACCAGTTATTGACAAATAACTTCAGATACTAAGTGCATCTACATTGAATAAATATAAATTTAATTTTATTATTTAAGCATAATTTAAAACATAAAAACAACAAAAACATTGCTTAAATTGAAAAGCTATGGAAATAACTTTTAAAAAAAGCTATATAAAAATAAAGTCACATTGCGTGCCTTTTTTAAAAAGTAAAATTTCATATACAGTAACCTACCTGGTATACCTAATCCTATAAATATGCTTGAGGGGTTTATAAACAATAAAAAAATTGTTATTTCATTAAAAAAATTATCTTTAATTTTAATTTAACAAATAAAATAATATTTAAAAATGAGATACTTATATGCCAGGTTAGAAGTAAAACCGTAAAACCCACAGCAACTTAAGGGCAATGATGAACCTTTTGTAAACCATAAGCCTAAGACACAAGTGCACATCTGAAAAAGAAAGAATCAGAGACAGAACACATCAATAAAAATATATTTTGATAAACTAAAATATAGTTTGCACATTAAACATAGTTTTCACCATACAAAAAAAAACATTAGCGCAGTATAATATACTATAAAAATTCTTTGAAAAATATAAAAGTTAGTCAAGTAATTGATTGAAATAAAACGGTTTAGTAAATTAGTATATAATTTTTTTAAATAAATTATTTGTAAGCATATAAAGAGCAAATAAATATGTTTAAAGAAAATATGATTTAAATCTAGTTTGCAAGTCAAACATCTATCTTATACCCATGGCAATACTTGGATCATGGTCTACATAATTCTATGAAATATAACTCTGGTTAAGGTAAACGGTTTCCTGTAAAGAAATAATATTAAATCATAAATGTAACATTAAATTACAAGCATGTTTGAACGGAATTGTTAAAGCAATCCTTTAAAATATTGGCTTGTAAAATAAAAATTTTGTTAGATTTTTATTCATCTGCTACACCGGTTAAATACCAAGTTAATTTAGCTTTCCATCAATAACTTTATATTTTAAAGCTTATAGTTATATTTAAATTTAATATAATCAAACAAATCAAACAGTAGACAGACTCCAGAACTTATATTTTGGATTTTTTTCAAAAATAACATTAAAACAAATATTATTAAAATAATAAAATTAATTTTTTTATTCTCTGGTAAGATTCAATATCACGATTTAAATTCTCATCTACAATCTCATATACAAGAGGTTACTGTAAAAGGGAATGAATATGAAAAACATGGAAACAGTAATACTCATTGCACAAAAACTTTACTCTATTGAGTTTAAAAATTAAAATATTTAAAAATATATTAAATATTGTAAAATAAAGATAACAAATTTGTAAATAAAGATGCATATTTTATTAAACAATGTTATTCATCTTCTGAACTAAAAAATGCCTCTCTATTTAATGGCATTGGAAAACTTGATGTAGGTATCACTTTTTTCTTGGCCTGTTTGTTTTTTTGGTCTTGTCTAACACTGTCTGTCTGACCGATTATAAATAGGGTTTTATTTTGTTGAATATTGTTTATCCACATTTTTTATTAAACTTAATATTGGCCAAAATTGTCCTTAGCTGCTTTTAAACAATGGTAAATCATCAATGTTGACTTGAATTGATATACAATCCTTTTTCTTTAAAAAACTTGAAATATTACTTTAAATACCTTGTCTAATGCCAAAATGACAATACAGTCTTCCAGTTATACTGATAACAGGTACAAAAAACTTTAACGTAGAGTGCATGGGTTCTTTGGCAATTCAGGAAACAATTTACCGAAAATTTTTAACAAAGATGCTAATGCTTCATCGGTTATAGCAAACTTAACTGCCCACTGCATCAAATCATTTTTTAGTTCTTCATTGTTAACATCATCAATTGTTTCAGAATCTGATTACTCTAATGGGTAAGATTCAGAATCAGAAATTGTTAGATTACTGTCAGAGTTTACTTCACAATCAATATTACTTGCACCTGAAAAAATAGCAGTTGAAAGTTTTCGATCTGTTATACTCTTTAAATACAATGATTATACTTCTTCTGGTGAATGTGAAATATTGCGCAGAATTGATCAGATCTAAACCAATTAATGTAAAAGCTTTATCTTTAGGTCTTTCTACTCTGCGTTGCTGGCTCAGATCTTTTGAGTATATTTTACATTTAAGATAGAAGTTAGACATTAAAAATTATATCAGTATGCTCCTGTTATGAGTTATACTCAGAAAGTTTTGTCCAGTATTGCTATGAAACTACAGCTCTCATATTCAAAAACTATTGCTGGTATATGATTCCCCCAACTGTTCATAAACTCTTGGAACATGGTGTGCAGATATCTGAGGCATTAGAACTGCCAATTGGTTACAACTCTGAAGAGTCACAAGAGGCTCTAAATAAGGAAATTCGCAAAGCTAGATTAAACCATACAGCCAAGATATCAAGAAAGAATTTTATGAAAAACCAGTACCAATACCTCTTGATTAGAAGTGATCCTGTAATATCAAACATTTGTTTCAAAAAATACAAGGTTGAAAATGGAAAAATACTTACCCCTGAAGTTTCATCTTTGATAATGCTGTAATAATGAAATAAAGCTTTTTTATAACTTTAGGTTTTCTTTTTTTGTTTTCTTGAAAGGAAAATTAGATAATTATTAAAAGGAAAATTAGATAATTATAAAAATATTTTATTTTGTATTTAATATACTTCAATACTATTATAATATTAAAAGATTTTTTGAATCCAATATTTCTTTTTAATAAGTATAGGTTTTGGTTTGAAGAATTTAATTTTTTTAAATTAAGTCTTTGTGCGCGTAAAAGACTATAACACGTATACGCGTGTATACGTGTTAGAGTCTTATACGCGTGTATGACCCTTAGGCACAAAAAAAACTTACATTAAAAAATATGAGGTATTTTTTTATATGGTATTTTGGATCAAGGAATGCGATTTTTTTATTTAAATCATATTTTTCGTGCGTAAATGACACTAACACGCGTAAGCTTGCGCTGTACGCGTCATAGGTACGCGTAAAAAATATTTTCAATAACAAATTTAATTTTTTTAACCCAAAATACGATAGTATTGATATATCACACGTTTATATATGCTAGTTATATAATTTTTGCCGTTTTTTCACCTTTCTGACTCACTGTGCGTCGCAGGCGAAGCTCTGTTAGTTCACCTTTCTGACTCACTGTGCGACGCCGGCGAAGCTCTGTTTTGCTCTAAGGATTTTTAATGGGTCAGGCGAGGCCAGCCGTGGCTAGCCGTGGCTAGCAAACGATAGCAAACGATGGCTAGCAAGCGATAGCATTCATTTTAACTGTAATAAAATAAAAACAAACATAAGCACGACTTAATAATTAATTACATATATACTTATACAATATAGTAACAACATATATACAAAATGGTCACAACTTTAAACAACATGGTTATCATGTTACAATAACAATTATTTTTATTTTTGACGGATAAGTTCAATCCATTAACAACAAACCATAGTAACATAGACTTGAGTTAAGGACCTTTTTATAACTTTGTGAACTAAAATGCAACGATTATTACAATGAAAATTTACAATTAAAACCAAATGCAGGATACTTACAAATATATTTATTAAAACATGTGGTACTTGAATTATTATGGACTAAAACTCCATTAAAAATTTAATGTTTTAAGATTGGAAATTTCATGATATTTAATTTAATTCACAGCTGTTTCTAAATAAAATCGATAACACGCTGCGACAAATTAATTTATCATTTTATTATAAATAGATGACTTTAAAATGTTGTCAAAGTATGATTACAATTTAAAGCATCTTAAACACTTTTTTTATTTAAAATCTGTTTAGCCAGTTTTCGATGGCAAGATCTTATGACCTTCTGCATGTATCTGCGTTCTTATTCTAAAGTTGAAAAAATTTGTAATTCTTCTTCTATGTATTTTATTCATTCTTTTATTGTAAAAGTTATTTTGAATAAACAAAAAATAAGAACTAAAAATTAAAGTGCCTCTCAATCTTTATAAATATTTGTATACACAGAAACTATTTTATAAAACACAGTAATAGTAAAAATAAGGGAAAACTTTTCCTTCACTTAAACACTAAAAACAGAAATTCTAATAACTTATTTGATTAAGTGTAAACTTACCAGATTTAAATAAACAATTTAACTTGAGATTTAGCATTTTTCTTTCAACATTACCTGTATTGCCATTACTTCTTACCTTTATTGTGGCACATTAATCATCACAAACAAACTCTAAAAACAAAAACATCAAAATTATGAAACCTAATAATTAAAATTATTTATTTTAAAGTTTTTTAATATAAAATAACAAAATAAGGAAAGGCGTTAAACCTATGGAATGGAGTTTTATTATCACAGTTGCAGAAGGTTTGGAGCATGCATACTAAAACGAAATATAAAAAAATATATGCTACATATTAAAACAAAAATCAGCTCAATAGAATCATTTTTGGCAATTCTTTATAACATTTAATGAAGGCGTTTTAAAAATGAAATGATAGAAAGAAAAAAATGATTTTGGAAGTTTGATATTAGGGCATATCAAACACTTCATGAAGTATTTAGATAAAATAAATATAACATTCATAGTACATCATTATTTAGGCCTCACATTGAATATTGAGCCCCATTAAAGAGTTGAAACATGTTATTATGGTTGAACAACTCCAACGTAGAGCAATTCGTGTTTATAGTTTAAAAGATTTATCATGTAAAAACTCACTGACACTATTTCTCTCCACATTAAAAATAAAAAGATCAAGAGGAAATGTGATTTAACTATACAGAACTATTAATGACTTGGATGTAATAAATCGACATAATGCTCCAATAATTATAAAAAACTCTATTACAAAAGACTGCAATAAATGATATATAAACAACAATCCAAAAAATCAAACGGTCAACATTATTTTTTTATAAATAGAATAGCTGACAAATAAAACCATTTATAACTAGAAGTTGTGAAAGTGAGAAACTTTATTATATTTTTAACACTCTACGATAAATATATACAAAACTGTAAAAGTCTAGCATCTACTTTTGTTAGACTATACACAAACAATGTGTATCACAACTTTGTTAGTTGATTTATTTATTGTATTTATAAGTAAACAAATTAGCAAATTTATAGTCAACAACAAATTTATATCAAATCTAGATATAAAGACTTGGTAACTTTTCCTATTTAGTGCTTCACTTCAACTTCTTTTTTTTTTATTTGCATTCACTACCAACAAGCCTGCAAGCAACCACTAATAAGTTGGG